GGTTCACACATTTACACCATTTGGTAGCCGTAATTTTTTGAATGCCTTCCTGAAACTAATTCACTGATTGTTTATCGATTTTTGTGTTCATCACTACACTGTTATATGTGGTATCATTATTTCACAAAATGACAGTAGGTCATGTCAAATCAGGAATCGAATTAAAATTCTGACTATAGCTCATTTTAGCACCCGACTAAAGAAGCCACATGTAAATTCATTTATTACTCATAAACAATACGTATTAACAAGCACGATTAACTTTTGGCGAATCCCTATGCAATCGATTGAGCTATAAAAATGGCAATCCATAGAGAACTAAGGTAATTGGGGGCAACTGGGGCAACAAAGAAATGAATTTCTTTGACTGGACGGCGATAGCAAATAATTTTATTTGTACAAACAAGAAATAAAAACGCTTCATTCGAATTATAGGACTTTTATTTATTTACAAAGGAATCAATTGATTTTATTACCTTTTTGTTGTTGTGTTGTTTGAATAAGTTTGCCAATTTTGAACCAATCATTCGAATATTTGGGATTGAGGGTCGGACTTATGTCCAGTGCATGTGCGGTGGTCGATCAAGGAACATAAAAACCGCAAGGTTTTTATTTTCCTTTCTGTGTTAAAGGAATTCATTAGTATATTGAGTCAATTTTAATAGAATAGCAACTTAAAATGTATCTTATACTTATCCTCTCTAATACGCGAATTGCAAATTATTTTCCTATGTGAGTAGACCCATGATATATGAGTTTTCACACACCGTGGTCTAGTTGGGTAAATTGTTTATGCACCATGGTCTGGTCGGTAGAAGAACCTAAACGGAAAATATAATTTGTGCTTTTCTTTGATACACATTCCTTGATATTACCTACTACTGAATTTGCATACCTAATATGGTTCAAAAGTACTACTAATATTGTAAGAGAAAATTAATGTAAGAATGTATTTTTATATATAATATATAAAACCTTAAATAAGTTGATGATACAATTTCATTTCAAGCGAGACAAGTAAAGTTATTTGGTCGAGTTTTCCTAACTAAGTTAGCCTTCAAAATTAATTTCATTTAATCACTAACAGCATAGATATTTAATTAAACATTTTTATCTATAGGTAGTTTCAAAAAAACATATTGAATTCATAGTCCCTTGTAGTAGGAACACATACTAACATGCGCATTAAATCAAAAAGATACACAAAGTCTATGTCAGGAAGAAAACACAAAGCGTCTGCCTATAAAACATACTGGCTCCCAGATAACACGGCACACACAGCCCTGAGAAGCCGGGCTTATCTACAACAAAACACAAAACGCACGGACCGTTAACAGTCCGTATCTCCCACGATACATGCAAGTTTGTCGATTACAACCAACTATTACATACAAACTATTACCTGCAGATGTTTCCGACTGCGAAACTAACTGCTTTTTGTCTTGTCTGCCGTTCGTTTAATAGTTGTTCAGTTCCCAGAAACAACGTGTTGCTTCTTTACATGTTTATTTTGTTAAGGACAGTTAAGCTCTTTAAGGTTTTTTTTAATTTGATTCATACATACTTACATATATAGAGAATAATTATGGTACTATTGCAACATCTTCCTTGTTGATAATAATAGTGTTGGAAGTAAAACTCGTTGGGAATAATAATGCACTTTTAATAAACTTCAGCCTTCAGGAAGAGACTGAACTTCATCATCATATTTTAAAATTGCAATCAGAAATAGAAAATAATTTATACAAATCATATCGTTATACCAGGAATTCATAACACGACGCTGTAATAAGCTCATGCTCTCTATGTCGTCACAATTGGCGCCGAGCGCTCTCGAGCGAATAAATCTACGCATACTTATCCATGCTACTAGATGTCTGAGAAGCTTGCGTAACGAATTTGCGTCTATTTATTGCTATTAGCTCTCTCTGAGTCATGACACCCTGGTATTAGCGAGTCATCTTTGTGAATTTGTCTTAATAGCCACATAATATTGTTCGTTGTGTTGATGTGTTAGTAATTGAGGATAAATAAGGTATTTAAATCATCGTTTTGTTTGATTAACTTTATTAGAAGTCTTATAAAAACGGTAAACAGAGTATCTATATTATGTTTTTGGATATCATTTGACTGATGTCCAACTATATTAAAAGAATACATTTCACACTGTAAAGATTATATTATTATTTTTGTTTCGTAAGTTCTTGCCCATCAATTGTAAGCTTACAAAGCAATCAGTAGCATCGTTCATAAAAGGTTCAAAAAGAATCAAAAGTTCCCCCTGACGAATGATACCTGTTAAATTTCACATCAATCAAGTTATTTGGAAGTTGACTATCGTGATTGCCACTTATAGCTTACCATTGTTTCTTTTATGGCCCACTAAAGAAAATAGTAAAGTTTATAACAGCTCTATATATTTCTTTAGTTAAAGGATGCTTCAGATTAATCGGAGCTATGCAATCTCACATCATAAAACAAGGGCTGTTACATTTTGACACTTTAAAATATCCGTCTTTTTCAAATAGGACAGTTTTTATTTAAAAAATACTGAATAATTTTCTTTGATATATCACTTAGGTGTATGATAAGTAAGTCGTTTTTACTTTGACAAATTGCAAGTCTTGTGTTTCGTCTTATGAAATAGGAAGTTATGAATTTTCAGGTTTATAGAATTTTCATTTTACTTGGTTTTATAAAGGCTTTCTCGACAACGTTTTGTGATTAAGAGTACAATAATGAAATAAGATAATGGAAAACGTTGAGTGTATTAAATACAAAGTGGAATTGACTCACACCGTCGTTAATTATTTATGCTCTAAGTGTAATTAACAGGAAGGGAAGTGAATCTATAATGCGTTTCTATAGTAACTATTTCTTGAACATTGTAATGTTCAGTCTAGTCACTTAGGTGGACAATGTTCAGATTGAAAGTGGTCGCGGAAATTCCTTCTTCTGGTGCCATAATGAAATCCTACTTATGTATATGTCGCAGTAAGATAGATAAAGCCGTAATATAATTGTATAGCGATACAATTATATATATAGGGATAGGGATATAATTATATACCGTAACATAGTTATAAGAAAGCGATTCCTTACTATCTCACTAGGAATATAATTATAAAACGGTCCATGTTTAGTGATATAGTTATATACTACTCAACAAATAATGAAATTTTGTACAGAGATAGTCAGAAATAATGTATAGGCTCTGAACAGGTTTTAATGAAATTTGGCACAGAAATAGATTTAAGTCTGGAATAACACATACGCTTCTTCTCAACCCTAGTTCTGTAGTCGATGACGCTAACAGAGGCTAGTGGTAAATAAAGTTTCAATTAATTTGTACACATCTCGTAATCCCTCTCATTATCAAGTTATAATGTCTACTATCAATTAATTACAATTCGTATAACAGAAAAAAGCCTTAAAAAAGGTTTGAGCTTATTTGATCTTGCATATCAGATCAGCATTAACCTTTTTAAATTGTCTTATATCAAATCATCGTGTAGTTAAATTTAATCAGCTCTAACACCTCACTAGTAGTATTAACAAACCTAAGCTCCTTACAGATCACCCTTAACAAAGACTTCCAAAGATGTGTTTACGAAAAATGTACTAAACTGTCGGGAGCCATTGTTTGTCTCTGATTGATGGTTTTACATCAATTCTATGTCATGGACCTTCTCGCTTTTATTCCGAACTGGTTTAATTTCCTATTTTTTTTTTTTTGTATTGTCATGTTATAATTACTGGGTTGTTAGTGATGAAGGATCTATTTTGGTAGCTGATGTTTTTTTTTGTAGTTTGGATGGTTTTGGGGATTAATTTTCGATTCGTATATTAATAAAATTAATTTATATCTATCATTAACTGGGAGAGTAATATAAATCATATGCTTATTACTGTATTATTTTCCAATTAAAATTGAAACAAGATAATTTTCTGGTAACCATGGTTTTATATCATTACCGGACACTTAAAGAAACTCCAACCCGCCCACGAGCTATCCAATTAAAATATATTATCTATAAAATCCTGATATCCACTCTTATAGCGCTCCTCGGTAGGGTTGTCACTTTAATGTCAATAATGTGCCGACAATGTTTTTTATGTACGATTGTATAGTTTTATATCGGTACCAGGGTAGATAATCTTTCTTCATATGTTCCGTGGAGCGTGAAAGTTTTATAGTTCGGCAAAATATTATGTAGCAACCCTAGGTTAAACTGACCATTGACACATAATCCATGTACAATGTCAAGAGTCAAGCGTCTAAACGGCGATTGGTCAGCGGCGACTCAAAGCTCGCAAATATGCGCTTGCGCAACTACGTCGTTACGCGTTGACGCCGTCGATTGTCGCTATTGACGGGTCGTGATTACAGTATGTAACGAAGTAACGACCACACGTAGAGCTGCTACCTACTTATTTACGTGATTAAACCGTTTTGTTATGTATTTACTGTAAGTAATAGAGCTGTTATATGCGATTTTATGTTAATTTAAGAAGAGACATTAATTACACCCATTTGTAATGATAAAATATAAAAAATCATCTATGCACTAATCCAGACTATCTAAGCTACCTCTTGATATCTCACATTTAAATATTGATTTCTGTGTACATAAAATTGAATTGTAGATTTAACGGTTTCGATGATTGCAAAGTTTGGAAAAATAATACCGATGTTAATTGAGGGCCTTCCCTTTATTTAATAACTAACTACTCTCGCGGGGTTTCATCCGCTGGTCTGTTCATTCAGATCGTAGGGTACCTCGATAAATGGACTAACAAATAAAAAAAAAAATCAATTTGAACCTGTAGTTTCGGAGATTACCGCATTCAAACAAACAAACTCTTCAGCTTTATAATATTAGGTATAGACAATTTAAAATATTGTGGTAATTTGTATACATTTAGTAAATTGTTTTACTGACCTCGTGGCATGTTAACCTTTATCAGCGGTATCATAAAGTTTCCTTTCTTTGTTGCAGATGATGACGAAGAATGCGGTGCGCTATCCGAAGGTTCGGAGACGTCAGAATGCGGTCGGGCGGATACAGACGATGAGGGCATTGAAAGGGACTCGGAGCCAGCTCCAAGGAGACGGCGCCGGCGCAGAAGGTTTATGCTCAAAGATGTTATCGAGGTAAGAAAGCAAACATGGAAATTAAATGATAATTTGTTATGTTTTTATGTGATAGTAGGTCGGCAAATGAGCAGACGTATAACCTGATGGTAAGCAATCAGCGCCGCCCATGGACATCCGCAACAGAGGAGTTACGAGTGCGTTGCTGACCTTTTCGGGATTAGGGATTTGGAGATTAAGGGATTGGAGTGGGTTTGGGGGAGGGAAAGGATAGGGCTTCTGGTAACCTTACTCACATGGCGAAACACAACGCTGTGGTTGTTTCACCCCGGTTTTCTGTGAGGCCGTGGTATTACACCTGTCGAGCCGAATCATTTGTGCCGAAACATGGCTCGGGATAGCCATGTTTCGGCTTCGGCAACTTACTATCTATATAAAAGAAACTGAGGATATTTCTTTCGGGGAGTCTAAAATTCAGGTCAATTAATCTATTTTTATAAATCACCAATATCGAAACTTTATTGACAGGTAAGTGTGAAGCTAATCGACAATCTTAATTAATTCTCGAAATGGATCTTTACTTAGCGGTTACATTAATTAGCTACTTTATATATTTCTAGTAGCTACAAAAATGCAAAGAGATTTCAACCTGATAAGATTCCACAACGATTCAAAAATTTCATTTCGGAGTATCGGGTTATCTTCATCCATCTTTCTTTTTTTATATAATAATGTAGTGAATGTATCTTCTACTTTCTCCGAGATATAAAACCTTATCTCAATAATATGGATCGGTGTTCATTCACCACATGTGAGTGATAAAGCCTGTGTGTTACTGACTAGTTTATTTCTATCGGGTGGATATGTAACATGAGTTTGAGAGGGTTCCATAGATAAACTGAGCGAAGAGATAATATTTCGGAGATAATTCCGTGAAGGCTTCATGATAACACTATCTAATAGAAAGTTTTATGAATTTAATTAAATGGAATTGTTGATAGAAAATATTACTAGGGTTTTCTACGAGTTGTTTGTGCGTTTTAATTTGTAATTAAAGCATATTTTATATATATGGGAGTTTATTGATTGTTTTTCTTCATTCATATCTACATTGCCGCAGCCCGGCCTCAGTTCCGGGCACAGGAAGCACGACAGGGCGGGAGAAGCCATTTGATGATTTTCGAGCTCCTAGACTGACTGACAGACACTTATTTATTTGATATTTTTATTTATTTATGCTTCAATGTACACAACATGACAAGATTCGTTTTGAAAACAAACAGGAACATTCAATAATAGTTGGAAAAAACCCTTACCCGATCTGTGAACTGATTGGAAGACCTTGTCTTCAACTTAAAATTTCAACCTCTGGCTAGTTGTAATATTGACGAAAATATCTAGTATAGATTGCTTGACTGAATCATAACCCTTCTAAACCTTCTCATTTCCACGTGTCTGTACAATGAAGATCCACAAAAAACTTGGAAGGAAGTTTCAAAGATAACTTTTCAAGCATTGGATTTAATATGCCCCTTTCTACTATATAATACATATATATTAAGGTCGCTGTTATTACACAAGTACACACATTTCCTTCTTCGTGCCCTTTATCTGAGCGACACTTATGACGTTGCGTCACTTTTAATGGTCTGCTGTCATCTGCTTTCACCTTCCCGTATTAGGAAGTTATTAGAATTACCTGCCGTTATGGTCTTGATGCACTTGTTAAGTGGATTCGATGATATTAGGGTATCGTTGCATTTGTACAGGTGTCTATTCACTAAGGTGTATTTTTTTTTTGTTATTTTACCGCGCGTATCGGGACTTTCTGCGTTAACTGATACTCTTAGATTTAGATTTATTTGTTTGTAATGAATGCAGCTAAGTACAAATTATTAGTTGTTACAAAGTTTTAAGGTTCCTCGTACATTTTTTTCTGTTATTAGACAATATTCTTATTTTGAGAATTAAAATTAAGATGTTTTAATAATAGGTAATGCAATTTTGTGTCATAAAAATTGTTTTTTTTTTTATTAGTTGTGAAAATGTTTAGTTTTGTTTATTTAAATTAAAATTAAATATGCCTAGGTACTCTATTTTTAATTATGGTAATGAAACATTTTTTATTCAATCTGTGTGTGTACTCTATGGCCTTAAAGTCACATTACACTCTAGTCCGTCGAGACCTTTACAATTGTAATTCTTATGTAACAAGATACTTACAGATCTCAAATTTCTATTAGTTTGTTTTACGACGGCTTCTAACACGTGAAATGTTGTCATTAAGCCGGTAATTAGCCATTAAAATAAGGTTTTTAATCAATATTGATTATTACGAAATTGTATTATGATACCAGAAGAAATATAGGTAGTTACTTTTACTAATGGATCTTGCATCATTTATAGAAGTGCATTTTATTTTAAACTGTTTTATAATTTTCAAGATCAAATGTTTTTTTTTGTTTTAGTGCCGTGTAAAGGCTTTCTGTCTTCCTAAGTTTTCAGTCTACTTATTTGGGTTTTAAAATTCAGATGTACCGATTCATTATATTTATATACATACTCACATATAAAATAGGATGACCATATACGTATAGATAAACATCTTTTCATAAGATAGCAAAATGCATTTTCAAATCGACCAGTTACGTATTCAACTACTAGTATTCAAGTTATTGAAAAAAAGCTCTTAAACTTTACTATAGTGTCTAGTAGGTATAGTATGAATATAGATTGAAGACTGTATTTATATTCTGTGACTAGTGTAAAATACATAAACATATTTAAAGAAATAAATTATAGTACAGTTATAATTAAGCAAAAAAATTAGAATGTGATAACTACACTGAATTTCAAGTGTTGCGCTATAATTGATGATTGTAAAATTAGCATTCTGTGTCGTGAGCGCTAATTATTGGATTTGTTGTTAAATCACGCGGTAAATTGATTAGCACCTCTTCGGTTGTTGTAATATTTTTCATAAGGTAACGCACGTAAGCATTAATACGAAAACACACTATGCAACTAAATTTTTCTTTCGGAGTCCTATTCTGTGATAGGAAAGAAATTAGGGCGCCAATTGCTTACCCAGAATTTAATGCTCATCCATTTGTTCGTTTGCCGACTTATGTCCTAGAAAACATAAGTTCATCAGATACTTATTTAAAGGTGGTGAAGTAGGCCCTCAGTCCCTCAATTAGGGAGTGTTTCGAAATCGGGTAACCTTGTAATATCTACCTAAGTTTTTTTGATACTTTGCCTTTGACCTTGCTTTTACCTTGAACTTGACCTTGAGATATCATCAAATAACGTATATTTATAAACATTGCCATGTTGACAACAGAGAATTTGCATTCCAAGCGATTTGGTATAAAATTACATTACAAACGTATAATTGATATCGTCAAGGAATCAAATAAATTTTCCCACTATTGTTCAAAAAATATTTTTGCGTTAAAGGCGTTGGAATTAAGACCCCGTTTGACATTTTATGAGATCCTTTGTTGAGAAAATTATAAATAATTATGCCATGATTTAATAGTTATTTATGTTGATGCCTATTTGATGGTATTAAAAAACGTTTTCTAACATTTTGCCTCCAAAAGGACGGCAACGCACTTGCAACTTCTATGGTGGGCGACGTTGATTACAATAAAAATCTTATTTAACTTTTGCCGTACATGAGCGCATCTTATTTAAATTAATACGTACTTTAAAAATAAAAAATACGAAATTACTACAACCAATAGCAGTAAAATTTTATCAATCTTACAAACTTGGATTCGGTCTCTTTGCCAATCACCCTTTAAAGGGTTTATAGACAATTGGCTAAAAGAAGTCTTGGAAAGATAAAAAAGGTCCTTTCACACGATTTATGTATGTAAGCACTTCAGGGTGGATGGGAACCGCAATTTCCTCATTTCTTTAGCACGCTATCTTACTGGATGCTGGGTGGGTTTGGGCTAAGTGGGTCAGTGGGTCAAGACGGAACTCATCAATAGTAAATGCCTGTACTTCTAGTACGATCGTTTATTCTATGCCTAAGTAAATTAGGGCTTCTGAAAACACCGCACGTCGTAACAACATTATATATACGCGGGTATTAACGCGGAAAATTATAATTTGAATACCTTGGTAGGCTTGACGTTTCGACTCTGCCGGACAAGGAGTCTGCTTGTGACCACGACCTGTGCAACCGGGTCGAAACGTCAAGCCTACCAAGGTATTCAAATTATAATTTTCCGCGTTAATACCCGCGTAAATAAAGTGTTGTTAAGATGAAACGCGAAAGTTTAAAAGTTAGTACCGCACGTCGTATATGTAATAAAACTTTTTGAGAGTAATTTCTTTTTTTTTGTATAGAACTTTTTCTGTTCTTTGTCTTGGATGCGATTACAATTGTCATTCACATTGCACCCAAGGCATGAAGAGTATTTTTTGGATAACAGAGATGAGAAGAGATGTTCTGTGCGGAAATTGACTTGTGCTGTGCTAAATAAACCTACTTCATTTCTTTCTTTAGTTGCAGTCGGTAACAAGTCTTTACCTATAATTCACTGCGATTTGGGTTCGAGTAGTAAATCGAATTATTGTTATGAGATTTATCTAATATGGCAAAATTATCATCATACAATTGCAATGCTCTGGAGTAATGTGTGTAATATTTCATTGATTGATAACTTTATTTAGTTTGTTTTCGACCACGGATTGACGATAGTATGCGGCGATAGGTTCGTTGTTCTAAAAATATGAAATTCTTGAATAATCTGCACTCGTGTAGGATTAAATGTCGTTGACAGGGATTACATGACGAAATAGTCTTGATTGTTATCGAACCTAACGTGTTTAAATTAATTATTAATTACTCAGATTTAGATATTTTTTTAAAAAAGTGATAACAAATAAATTCTTTATGATTATGAGAAAAGGATTATTGATTGATTTTTGAAGGATTGTGATTTTAACCCCATTGGTCCATCTCGATGCTCGAGAGCAAATGTTGAACAAAGTAATATTTATTTATTTATCCATTTATTTCAGGCATCGAAGACCCATATAAACATATACAATACTGTATAAACAATGTTAAACTTAAAAATACCATAAATATATACTACATAAGTAATATTAAACAGTAAAACTATTATATGATGTCAATTTAACAAAATCTCAGCTACATAATGTAAGTGTTCTTAAGTATGGTAGGATTATCTCCTGTCACATAACATGTTGCTTAAAAAATGCTCACGTGCTTGTCGGAATAATTGTTATATTTTTATTCATATTTATGTTTTTCCTGTTTCTTTATTTCTGTAGGTATATTTCCCGAATTTTTTTCGCTCATTTCACTACTTGGCCATAAGCTTGGCTGGTAAAGAATTCCATATGGCATTAATTAGCCCTTATATTATGCAGCTACCAATTTTTTTTACATATACAATAAATAAAGAAATAAAAAATATATTACTGTCACTATTGATAACGTTTATTTAGCTGCATCTAATAATATCTTCCATATACCAAATCCTTTAGTTAGATCCTGATCATTCGTAATCCGTGCAGTAATTCATTGTTTACTCAAGATTTATAGATTTGAGGTGACGTTACTATAATAATAGTAATGTGGGTGTCTGTCTGTCTTGTGGCTCGTTATTATCTTGTCGTTGGTTCGGTGCCCGGACAAAGGCGTCTTGCGAAAGTGGTCGTGTTTGCCCCCATTGCCCCTAACGCCCTTGACATGTTGAATCATGTTAGCGGACAAAGGACGGTAAATTTGACTTAGTGACGACTTGATATTGTAGTGTTTCGTTGTTTCTAACTCAATTATTATAGGGTTGCTATTCCTTGAAGCGTTAGGCAATTCCTTTTTTGACGGGATAAAATCATAAAAGCCCTGGCCTTGGGTTGGCCGCGAGGGAGATTCTTACTGACTAAAAACTACGCGTTCCTTCTTCTGTTCTGGTCAGCAATAATCAATAGCAGGTCGAGCTACTCTTGCTGGCCGTATGCTTACCTGCGCATAGGCAATAATTACGAAGTTTTTAACACTTTACAGCCAATGGCAGTTTCTACTAGACTATAAGATATAGAAGATATTGCCATGCCGCATCCGGGTATTGGGCTGGTGAGTTTGTGATTCGGTTGTTTTTTAAAAGGTTCAAGACTATCAGAAAACGCTGCTGGTGGTTTCTATCATGTGTACACACATTTAAGCTTTTACGACGCCAAAATAAACAGACTCGTATAGGAGTTGTGAAAAATATATTCCGGTCTACCTTTGATAAAACTAGAAAGAGTGTTTCATAAATCCAAGGCCTATTTGGTATGACCCACTTCATAATTTGTGCGTATTCTATTCATGTACCTACTGCGTATATTACCATTGCCATGTGTAATTTCGAATTGCGTACGAGCTATTCTGATACCGTTCTAATTGACACATTGGCAACCTCTCATAATCATAAAACATGCGAAAATGTATACTGGATTATTATCTTAATTAGTATTCGAAAGATTGTTATGCATTATTATTACTTTGTTATAGAATACCACATCACTGTTTTTGGTTAAACAGGGTATTACCAAAATTTTAGCAGTAATAGCACGAAATTTTGAAATATGATTTGTTATACTTAAAATTAAAATGGCAAATATATTCAATTTAACGTAAGCGTTTTAATGTGGGCCAGCGATTTCAAACTGTGCAAGAAAGACCTCTTCACGGTTCTATCAAATGTACAATTCTATCATAATGAACTTGTTGTAAATACTATCCCATATATCTGCTAATATACCTGAAATATGTACGTATACATACCTCAGTAACTAAACTACATTCACACGACTCCATTTGCAAACATAAGAGCTTGTAGAGGGCGTCGTCCATTCAGAACAGCTTACACGGGAACGTGCGCACATTATCTATTAGCCGCGACACTCAACAGTTATTTCAACTATTATGTAGCTAGCAACTCGTGTAAGATAAACTTGTATTGGGCTTTGAAAGGATAATATATTGTCATACTTCGGCACATGGAGAGCCATGCTTCGGCACGAATGGGTCGGCTCGACCGGAGTAATACCACGGCCTCACAGAAAACCGGCGTGAAATAACCAAAGAGTTGTGTTTCGCCGTGTGAGTGAAGTTACTGGAGGCCCAATCCTTCCTCTACCCCAATCCCTAAATCTCCAAATCCCTAATCCCTAATAGGTCGGCAACGCACTCGTAACTCCTGTGTCCATGGGCGGCGCTGATTGCTTACCATCAGGTAATCCGTCTGCTCGTTTGCCGACATATTACATAAAAAAAATACCTGTTAATATCTGTAAAATTTTGTAAAAACGTACTCCAAATGCTTATCTTATAATATTATAAAGCTGGTGAGATTGTTTGTTAGAACGCGCTAATCTCCAAAACTACGGGTTCGAATTGAATATTTTTTTTGTATTTATTAGTACATTTATCGAGGAAAACTTTAGGCTAGCTTTGGTTGAATCTACTGCTTTAATGTTTAAGTAAACTAAAATAGTAGTTACAATAACTTTGGCTAATAGTCTTAGAGCTTATTAGGATCATTGAATCATGAATCAACTCTTATTAGGATGAGATTGGGCACAATTTCATCAACCTTATTTAGGTTTCGGGACCCTGGTAGGGAATTGAGCAACAAAAAGTTTAATTTCTTGTAGATCCACTGTGCGATCTACAAGAAATTAAACTTCTTACTATTCAGATTATAGGGACTTAGATTGACTGTGTAGTGTTTTTTTTTTCCTTTCGGGCATTACATAACTTTGTTGACTTAAACAAAAAAATATAAAAAAGCAGTAGTAGAATTGAATACTATCGAATAGTACACAAGTTTAATAGTGTGAATTAACGTTTAAGTGGGCTCCTCGCCTACATACAAATTATTAACCGGTTTTGTGTGAAACTTATATAGAAAAATATATAAATAAAATTAATTAAATAAAAGTTAACATAAGTTACATAGCCCAGTTCTGTATAGGGATAGTTAAAATGAAGCTAGGCTTTTCGTGGTCGTCGTTACGTTTGATTGGGACGTTAGTATCTCAAACTACTTGATGTAGGTGGCTTCATCCGTCGGGTAATCCATCATTCTATACTATGTCAATTAAGTACCGACCGCTTGATTGCAACAATCATTTAATATGCACATGTCGTTAGCAAAATATTTCTCCTGTGTGGGCTAGGAATACTTTGTTTGAGCTTTTTGCAGTTATACATAATATATATTTTATGGGAGTTCAGCCAGGGTTGCGGGATAAGCGCAATGTGGCACCTCGGCCTCGGCCCAGAGCTGGAGAGGGAACGGGCGGTTGTTAGTCAGTAAGAGTCTGACACTCCCTCCCGCCCAAGCATGGGCTGGAGAAGTCATTTCATGATTTATCCCTCACAAAAAAGCGAGTTCAACGGCATATTTTTTTTATTTCGAAGCTACAATGGCTCATTTTGTTGACTTTTTGCTACTACATACATATTTACATTCGCCTGGACTATCTAGTTAGCGTACCCAAATTCCAATGTTTGTTGTAACGAAAATCTAAAGTAAATAAATGAGGAACATTTGGCGTCCAACAGTCTAGAGTGCGTAGAAATAAAATGCGATATAACGGAACTGATTAGATAAATGTAACCAATTAAAGTTATCTCTTCATTATCTTAATAAATTTGGAGAGTTGGCATTACAGTACGAAATTAAAATATTTACGTCACCATTTCACGTTTTAGTTACATGACTTTGTTAAAAATCTGAATAAACCATATTTCACATTAGGACTATCATTTTTTAAAGTGGAATAAATGATTATTTTGTCAGTTGGAATAGAAGGAAGTGGAAACTGCATGTTTTTCTTCTACAAAGATATCTTCTGAATTATTTTGTTCCGAGATCTAAGACAAGGATGAACTGTCATCCTTGGGACAGGCCGGACTTCATTGTTTCGGTTGTTCATTGTTTGGTTGCATCTACAGTAGATCCTCGATCGCAGAAATCGCAGCGGTTGCATGAGGTTGTGGCGGGCTTTGTTTAAGTGCCTACATAACTTTTAATTTTCAATTTCTTTTTCAGCGGTGCGTTTGGCATTGCGGCGGTGGTGGGCGATGTGCCCGCGAAGCCGCTGCAGCGCACTACCGCGCTGTATGTCGCGCCCTCGTCGCTGAAGCGTTAGAATTGGCCTCCTTCCTCGCGAGGGTCCGGGTCGGAGGAGCGAGGGACATGGGAGCCGCTGAGGATTCCGCCGCGCACCTCGACACGCTACGGTTTTCAGATTGGGTGAGATATAATAATAATAATAAACATTATGTTGAACATTGATAAATGTAAAATAATCTGTGTTAATTTACTAACAAAAACCTTCTTGCTGGTTTTCAAGTCGCTAGTGTAAAGGTTTTGCACCTTTTTTACACATTCAGATAACATTAAACTTTTGCACAGATTTGGCTGATAAATATACTCCATGGAAATATCGATATCTTAATCTATCTTGATGAGAGTAGAGACCACCAACACAGGACATTAAGCCTAATTTGCTAAACTATAATTATTACTATCGCGTGCAAATTCCCAAAGAAACGCATGCAGATTGTTGTGCGTTGGTTAATGCACCCGCGATGCATTATTTATGTACCTAGCTATTCTCAAGTAATTCGTAATAAGATAGTGTCGGGTTGTAAGTGATGCGATCAGCGAGAAAATTTACAAAAAAATATCAATGAAGCATTTTTTAAGAATTCAGATAAGCATGTCACGAACGCGATCAATCCTACAATTATTATTCACACGGAAAATAGTAGGTAAATATGCATAGAATGATGGATGAATGAATGGATGCTTGTTACTCTTTTGCGTAAAAATTAACGAACGGATCTGAATAAAATTCGACAGAGATAGATTTATAGTCTGTAATTACTTAGAATACTTTTCAAGCTGATAGAAACAGTAGTTACTGTCCAGACTGAAAAACTACGAAGCATTCAACAGATGCCCATATTAATTTGGATATGCGTAATTGCACATCAAAGTGCTTGTCTGATGTTGATAAGTTTTTAAGACTCGTAACTAGTTTCACAAAATCGCTAAATCGCCGCTCTTAACAATGTGCCCTCAGCTTAGTCTACGCGTAAATATTTATGGCACTCAGGCCTAGTAATGAGAATTCCTCTACATAATATATGCAAGGTATTTATGCCTACTTTTTAGCGGCTATCGGTGACTGCGTGAAAACTAGAGTTTTGTAGAAGCATCCTAGTGATCTCATGCTCTATGAAGGTGGCAAAATGAGCACCTTTGATATTCGACAAAAATGCTTTAAAACACCTCTAGCTAGGCCTGTTTTTACAGAATTGGCCATTTAATGTTGAGTTTGCTGAGAATCAAAAAAATACGTTACCAAGAAACTATGTCCTTCTTAGGTATTTCTGTAAATAATTTAGTAACGTACTTTTTATAAAAGAAAAACACTTACTTAATGCTGATCAGAACAATAACAAATAACTAATCCTTTACTTGCATAATCTAACCATCTCCTGTTGCTAACTATCTAACATTTATAACTAATCTTGTGATATTTTTGTAACACATTGTTATTTCTAATTGTAGTCAAACCGAAGGATATGGAGAGCATTACAAGTACGTAGAAAGGAGACTGATCGTAAAGTTACCCATTTGCTTTTAATTTGTAAATACCTATATACCTAATGTCCTTGTCAAACTTTTGAAAGGTGCAGTTTAAGATAGATTTACCTAGAATGCATGCTTAAATAGATGTCGCATATAACAACACCATTTAAATTTAACTACATACCATAGGTCATAGTTATGTATTGCATGTCAAGGCTTTCTTGTAAGCAAACATTTAATTAATATTATTTTATTATCTACCTACCTGTTGGTAATCTAGGTACAACATTTTACCAATAATATTCACATTAAAAAAAAACATTTAATTAATTATAAACCTGTTAAACTTAAATTATACACGAATTCAAAAGCTTCTTTCCCTCACACGTACAGAGAAAACGTAAACGCCTGCAAAAAGAATTATAGCATGAAAGCAGCACGCAACTAATTGCTTTTAAAATTTTACAGGCGCGGTTTTGGATGCAAGTCATCGGAGAGTTACGGATGGGTGTAAAATTAAAGAAAGTAAATTATTCAAGGACACCAATAGAGTACGAGTTAACACCGTACGAAATATTAATGGACGACATTAGGTCCAGGAGGTACACGCTAAGAAAAGTTGACGGCGCGATACCTCCAAGGTAAGAACTGTTTGTCACGAATCTTTTATAGCTTTTTTCTTTAATTTACCAATCAAACTGAATTTAGTTTGTTTTTTTGTAAAAGATAAAACATATTAATTATTTATATGTCCATCTACATGTTACTAAAATGTTGTTTTATTTACAGTGTAAAGAAAGACGCTCATGCAATGATACTTGAGTTCATTAGAAGTCGACCTCCACTCAAAAAGGTAATAATATTGTATTTGCAACAAAAACACGTTCATCCGTGTATTTTGTAAATAGTAATTTAAATAAGTCATTTTAATAGATATTCATAAATCGTTATTAGATACTTACTGTTTATATAATGCAAATATTGTTATCAGGCATCAGACCGCAAGTTGCCGCCGCCCCGCCGTGAAGTAACGCCTAGGGAAAAACTTCTCGCGTCCATCCAAGTCGGGAGGCAACTCCGACCCACTCCTTACTCCAGGCGACTATGTAAGTAAATCTGTACTTAATCTTCCACTTTTTAGGTAGGATTTCTTGTTATAAAATCTATTTATTGAAGTTTTTGAATCCCCTCCATCATAATCCTGTTTTTGTCTTTACTTCTCCTATCCTATATTTTACTTCGCACCTCACCTCGTAACACAACAATCTGTTCCAGATCCTTTACTATGTTCAAGCTCAAATTGCATGCCAAAAATCCAAGAAACCAAGCTAAAACTGCGAAGTTGTTTATTAATTCTCGTAAAAAAGCAATCAATTATCCCATTTTGTGTTTTGTTATTTGTAACCGTAACAGCTTTATCACTCTTTGTGAATCTACCACAACCTATAAAATTCTTAGCGCCTTATCAAAATCTGTGTGCAAGAAGCAAGCAGCTATTTGCAAGTAGTTGCGCGCACTTTTTTGTAAGGCGCTAAGAATTTACCGCAATACTACTATTGCTAGTCTTTGCTATTCAAATCTAGCAGGCGATGATGGGATCAACAATATTTATAGGGGTTGTCCTGGTCATGTAAATAACGTACTCTCTTACTTTTTTTTAAACATAGTTTCTTTTAAATAAAACATTAATCATTTTAAATAAAAACATCTTATTTAGTTCACTTTTTATGTTAATCTTATTTATTGGCAGTATTTGAGGCTTGGTACATATAATTATACTATCAGGTAGGATCTATATTCAATTAACAACTCTAAAATAATACAATATTTACTTTATTGCGTAAATTAAATTTTCCTACCAAGTGCATTGCATCATAGGAGTAGATATGGTTTGAGTGCCCACCTTAGATGTCTTTCATACCATGTAGGTACAGTGTGTCGTTCTAGTTTCGTAAGAGATCAGTATACAATAGTATGGTTGCATACTTTATGGGCCTTTTGATAGCACGTGTGGTTTGCTGGGCAAGAATATGATCGTAGTTTAAAAGCATTCATATGGCATTACAACTATTTTGCTATTTATTTAAACAGACTAGCATTTTGAATATAACTGACTTTATTGCTCGTTCTTCTCATTTTATTTAGACAGTTCAATTGCTTTTTACCATTTTATTGTTGTGAGGTATTTATATAGGATAAAATTATAGGGAGTACTACTATTAAACACTAGGATTTTTTAGGATCTTCTCCGATCGTGGGTGCTTATACAAACAAACAATTACAAATACACATTTCGGATCACACAATGAGCATTTTACTACACAATACGTTATTTAAAAATCTTATACATATAGATAAGTGCCCTCTTATATTATTAAAGAACATACATATTTGAAGACTATTTCATCTATACGAATATTATAAAGCTGGAGAGCTTTTTTGTTTGAACGCGCTAATCTACAGAACTACCTACTGGTTGGAATTTTTTTTTTTTAATAATAAAATTTTATTTATACACAGTTACATAATTGAATCATTATTATTGTGTTTGTAAGTACATTTATCGATGCGAAAGGCTTTGGGCTATAAAACATCACGCTACGATTTTTAGGAACCGACCAGCGAGTGAAACCTCGTGACAGAAGCTATTTCGATGTTATGAAGACATTAAGTATTAACAATGTTATATTATGAGGAATATTGGCGTCCCGGATCTTTTATTTGTACTGAACTTTTATCGAGACATGATTGATGAGGTTTTGATGTAGCTACTGAGGGTAGATTGATCATGTTTGCTAGTCGAAGTTGCGATATTACCTCTATCGTATAAATGGACAGAACTGTTATAGTAAGTGTGGGAGAGCCATGCTTCGGCACGAATGGGTCGGCTCGACCGGAGTGATACCACGGCCTCACAGAAACAACCACAGCGTTGTGTTTCGCCGTGTGAGTGAGGTTACCGGAGGCCCAATCCTTCCCCACCCCCACATCCCTAAATCTCCAAATCCCTAAAAGGTCGGCAACGCACTCGTAACTCCTCCGTTGCGGGTGTCCATGGGCGGCGCTGATTGCTTACCATCTGGTAATCTGTCGGCTCGTTTGCCGATCTATTACATAAAAAAGTATAATTTCAATATTTATGCCATTTTCAATAAAAAAAAATTCAAAAAACTAATACTTCCGATACGTTAACTTTACTGCTTGTACATTTTCTTTGATTTCCAGAGATTTACATATGCTTAACAGTTAAAGTTAAGATCACTCAATCAATAACATAAACATTTCCTATCCAAATTACAGGGTATAAGGCACATTTTCGTACTGTATTTAAGGTTTATACAGCATCTATATCAGCGTAAATAGAGGCGTTCAAAATTGAAGTTTATGGCCCATGTAATAAAACACTTAACTACCTACTCAGTATGATGTAAACTACAGATGCAAGAAAATTCGCGCTGAAACTTTATGATGGTACTTACTGTTTATGGTTTAATAAAATATCTATGACCTTGGTATTTATAACAATTTACAACATCATTGATTACATAGTACATAATAATATGTATGAACTTTTAGTTATCCGGTTGTGTGCGCAGATACATGGTAAATTCGCCTACGTCTTGTAGATTTCCCTAGAGAAAACATAGAAAAAAAAATCTTGATGAAAAGAAGTCAAGAAAAGACAGTTTTTATGTTTGGAGGATTTTTTTCTAGTGAACAGACATGACAAAAATTTGTCCTATATGCGTCCTAGACGCGAATATAGACTTTTTGTTTGTTTGTTTGGTGCGTTGCAACGAATAGTTTCTTCTTTAAGATATTAGATTACCTGATAGTAAGCAATTAACGCCGCCCGTGAATAAACATAACATGATCATCATCATGAGCCTGAATCGTTTGATAAACTCTCAATAGTAAGGACCAGGTCAATGGCGTTATAATATTGAAGCGAATTTATAGATTCGCACAGAGTCTCGTCAAGTTAGTACGAAATTCATCATGTGAATGTTTACACATTTTACACACACATTTCATCGATATTTCTATAACATTCAATGTGACTTTTAGAATAACGAATTAAATCCACGCGACTTATATTTTCTTGTGCGGTGTCAAGCCTCTCTAGGAGTCTAGACTGTGTGTCTGTTTCAGGAGTGACTAAGACCCTTCGCATTTTGTCTTTGTAAAGTGAAATTGTGTATTAATTACGTCTAATTATAATACGACTAGTGGTAAACATATTACTCAACGCACGTTCTTTTTGGCGTTATGCCATAGATTGTGAAAGGTGGTGGAAAGAAAATGTCCTTTGTAGCTAACGATTTTCTAATACACCCGTTTATTTTGTGTTGCTTATAATTATTGATTTTATGTAGGAAACAGGTACCACGCTTTACTTTTAATGAATTATTTATTTTGGTGATACAAGTTTATGAAATAAAATTGGCTCTATAAAAAATAAATGAAATTAAAGTCTAGGATATTTGATTATGTTAAATATGGGTGCGCAAAGTCAGATACCCAAGCTGTGTGTAGGTAGTTAATATGGTAGGATGTTGTCAATTCTTTTACAATGGCAAAAAACAGTTACAAATAAAATAACTATTAGTTACAAACGTAGATAAAGTAGCATGATAAAATTATTCAGACTTATAAATAACAATAATAGATAATAAACGGTCGAAACCTTTCCCACTAAAATTCACAGACCAAGAATATCTTATAACTTCTGTACTTAACGATCACCAGACACATTTCTGGTCCACTTCGCATCCGCTAAAGTTGACCCATAAAAACATTTCATCTGTGTATGATTTCTAACCTTATGCTGTACGTGTAAGGTTCTCTTTACTTTTGTTGTGCCAGGCGCCTGCCTGTCTCTGTCGTAAGACAATCTAGACGTCTAGGTCACTGGGAACTCGAATATCGACCTGGATACTGAAGTTACGTAATGGATACCCTGTCTTATATAATCTCTATGTTCAATTAGACATATCGAATTATAATCTCATAATAAATAAATATTTTTTGAATGTTTATAAGACAGTTCCTCGTACAGAAAACGTAAAGCCTAGGCCTTTTTAATTTTAAATACATATTATCAGCATTCAGGATTCATTTATTTAAATATTTATTATCAGGATTTTCTTTGTCTATTAAAACTTCGCTTGCGCTGTTCTGGGTAAGGTGGCTCGTACTATGAAAACTTATATTTTATGTTTTTTAAACAGACAGTACTAGGAGATACTTGATGGGCACGATTAGAAGAATTAACCGATACAGTTGTAAATACTTAAATTTATCATAAGTGACAATTTTATGTTTCTGCCTAAAACATAAAACTGTGATATGAGCGTCCGTCAAGTTTACTCTTTATCAATTCTTGAAACTCACAATAAGTACTCAATAATTAAAATTTCAGGCAAATCGGAGACGTTGATGTTTACTAGAATTTGCTCAGGTCAACGCTCGACCGTATTTAATTAATTAATGTATGTAACACACGTAATATACTTGTAATATTACACCTTTTACGGAGTGAAGGTGATGGAATATATCAAACAACTTTTTCCTTTCAATTATTCAAGCCTTATAGGTGGTATAAGTGAGGTAGTGCATATACATGGGGCCCTTGCCAAAAATTCTTCGTATACAACGTTTTAGATGACCTATTTTTGTGCACTGCAGATTGCTCATCATATATTACTTTCCCTTTTTCAAGGAAATGTTGACAAGTAAATCCAAGCTTAATGATTGATGAGTTTATTAAACACATTTTAGACAGAACCGGCCCTCCAACGTTTTCATTTCATAGAACAAAAAAAGAACAATGTTTCTCAATCTTCTTTCTTGTTTTTTGCTTTTATGCACTTGTTTTATTAGTAAATTGTTCTCTCAAAGTCTTAGAGGGAGAGTGGTTGAAATAAAAAAGTGTACTGTTTCTTGCTCACAATAGCTGTTTGAAGCAAAATGAATAAGTCTTACGTTGCATAAACTGGTCCATTTGTTAGACTGTGGTTCGATAACTTTCTGATTAATTATAATTAAATGGTTATTAATGTGGGTGGATACGTGGAACTACATTTAAAATATTAAATTATTTTAA